ACTGCATTCATCAATTTTGTTACCGAAGTAAATGTACTACGAAAGAGTTTTTACTTCTATTGGTCTCGATGCACTCATGTTATGTGTGATCAACTGGAACAAAGCCACAGAGGAAGTATGACAATAATGTTTAACAAAAATTATAACATTGTAGGAGTACTTACAAAGAAAAAGCAACACATCTGGTTTTAATGTTTTCAAATCAAATATGTTGAGAACTATTCAGGGTCAGTTTTTGAAAGTTTGATCCAAAAAACCATCGGACTTGCTAAAAATATGATGCCACAGTTTTTACTAAATTTTAGTCACTGTTTTCCACAGAGGAAATAGGAAAGATACTGGCATATTTAAATACAGAGAGTAGTTAGTTTTTATACATCCATTAGTTATTAAAAACACATATCCATCCATGACAAGGTGTCTCTTGTAACTTCACTGATCCCAAAATATATTGTCATGGTCTCTCTTAGAGATGCTCGTAAAGACAAGGTGTATATTTATATGAACAAGTATACCCGTATGTATATAAACGCTTACGTTTGTATCATATTTTCTTAAAAAAAAAATAACGAAACATGAATGATTCACCTACACTTAATTAGGAGACCACTGTCCTCCTCCCCTCTCTCAACTCCTTGCCTTTGAAAACCAAGGTGACCACCATTTTCTTTTTTTTTTCTTTTTGCAGTACTTTGTACCAGTAATTAATCAACTAACTAATCATGGGATTAACCAAAACTAATTCTTGTGTAAATGTAGTGTGCAATGCCCAGCTGCCCCTTACCTCTCACCAACCAACCATATGTTTCGCCCACTCACACACACTGACACTGCCACCTCACTCTCCACTCCACTATATATACCCTCGCTCGCGCGCGCGCACTCCACTCGCGCACTCGCGCTCGCTCGCACGAACGCACGCACGCACGCACGCACGACGCGCGGCGCGGCGCGGCGAGGCGAGGCTAGCTCAATTGGCGGCGATGGAGGCGGTGGCGGAGGCGGTGGCGGCGGCGGTGGCGGCCGGGGTGGAGCCGTTCCCGGCGGTGGACAAGTGCGACGCGTCGGGGCGGGAGGCGCACGCGGTGGCGGCCGACCTGGAGGGGACGCTGCTCCGGTCGCGGAGCGCGTTCCCGTACTACGCGCTCGTGGCGTTCGAGTGTGGCGGCGTGCCGCGGCTGGCGCTGCTGCTGCTGCTGGCCCCGCTGGCGGCGGCGCTCCGGGCGGCGGTGTCGGAGGCGGCGGCGGTGCGGGTGCTGGTGTTCGCGGCGACGGCCGGGGCGCGGGTGCGGGAGATCGAGTCCGCGGCGCGCGCCGTGCTGCCGAGGTTCTACGCCGCCGACGTGCACCCGGGCGCGTGGCGCGTGTTCGCGGCGTGCGCGCGCCGCCGCGTCGTGCTCACGGCCACGCCCCGCGTCATGGCGGAGCCGTTCCTCGTCGACTGCCTCGGCGCCGACGCCGTCGCGGGCACCGAGCTCGCCACGTGGCGCGGCCGCGCCACGGGCCTCGTCGACGACCGCCGCGGCGGCGTCCTCGTCGGCCGCCGCAAGGCGCAGGCGCTCCTCGACATGTTCGCCGGCGGCGACGTCCCGGACGTCGGCCTCGGCGACCGCCGCTCCGACTACCCGTTCATGAGCCTCTGCAAGGTACTTTACAAATATAATTTAACCATTCTTTTTTGGAAGTAATTACAATTAATCCTCTCCATTAATTTTTACTACCATTCTATCAGCATCCGTACTGCACCGGCCGCATGTACGTACTTAAGTAATTAAATCTATAATAACTGGATAATTACAGTGACTTATCAGTATCACACTGATCACACCGGGTAACCGTGCTTTTGGAACAGTTTTAAACAAGAGAACTTTTTAACCAAATTTTACAAAACTTATTAAACGAATTTCATGCATTACCAAGTTGATAACTACTTAAATCTTTATTTGCATGCATACTGTCATTATCAATGGCGACATGTTGACAAACTCTCAACAGGAGCATGCATAGCCCTCTTATAAAATTCGCAAAAACAAAAAAAACTACTCTGCATGATCTTCCATGCTCTATGATCATCTCCATCATGTAACACAATTAGTTACATCAATTCTTTAAAAAAAATAAAATTTAACAGGTGAAATTTTTAGGAAAAACAACACGATTAGTAGAAGTACATGCTACTGTGTGACATGCCAAATTAAGATGCAAAATCAGTTGCTGGCCGGGGTCCGTACGAGTGATAAGAGGGCACCACTGCATGATGAATCTGGATGGACTGGTGTGGTACCGAATCGCATTGCATCTCGCATGTGTTGTGGCAGCAGCTAGATAGTTAGAATTGGTACTAGCCTTTTTTTTTCACATTTCATTTTTTTTCTCTTTTGTGCATGTGCAACAATTAATTGGAGATATAGGAGTACTGTTGGCACTGTAGTGGCTCCAGTATAGAGAGGAGATGAGGAGGAAATTGGTTAAAAACAAAGTTGTGGGTGTATAGGGTTTTAAAATCCGGGGATAATTCACGGAGCGTGAAAAACTGGCTTTGAGAAAAGAAGTTGCGAGTAGGTTTTTAGAAATCTGGGGATAATTCACGAAACGTGGAAAATGGTGCAAGAGTCACTCAATTGTTTTGGAATTTTCTTTGTGTTTCTTGATGGTTTTCAAACATGGCCATCTGGAAATCACTCCATATTATTCAGTTCTATGAAAATAGTAGTCAGCTAGTTCTTGCGTGAGAGTTTTTTAGCCCAAAATAGCTATCTAGCCTCGTGACGAAAAATAAAAATAACTTTACACCACATATACACATTAATTAGTTAGAAATTGTTGCTCAACCTACTTGAATTGAGAAGAAAAAGATCCGGCCGCAGACAAGAAATGGAAGGCTTTTTCTTTTCGTGTTGTCCTTGCTGTACTTATCAAATCATCACACATAACTAAACGGCTAATTAATTAGCGATCGATCGATGGGTTCGGTTGGCTCACATCTTCAGCTCAGCAAGTAAATTTAAGTGCGTGCTGGTTAAGGACCCGACACGCCGTCTACCCATATTTATTAATTCAATCTCATCTACATCTCCAGCTCGATTTCTTGGTGGTTAGGTCGGTTAAACACTTTAATTACAACCCCCCCAAATGTGGTTAACAAATTGCTCCAAAAAAGGGTTATCTTTTTCGTACAAGATTTGTTTGTAAATGGATGGGGTCACACGAGTAGGGTGTGTGTCTTGCAAGGTTTGCTTAGCTTAGCCCTCTGTTTTTAGTATTAAATCGCAGCACACACACGCAGTTGCAATGCTGTAGCTGCTTTTAGGTGCAACCAGGTAGGTAAACCGGTTCATATATGGCCATAGGCAGCTGTCATGACAAAAAAAAATTGGCATTTCTTCGCTCTAGACACAATTCCTGTGTTCCAAATAAGCCCTAACAATCGAGAATTTAGCCATTTCTAACAAGTCTCCGAGAGTTGGAAACTACAGTGCATAGAATGTGAATTCTGAACACGTGTTTTTATAACAATATTAATCATTTTCTTTTTTCAAACACAACTCTGTGTATATATATATTTAATAAGAACACAAAAAAAAAGAGGAAAATGGAACCATAATGAATCCAGATTGGATGTGTGGGGCTTATGGCACGGCATGATGAGATGCTGGCTGTGATGTGAGAGCCTCTTTAATTCTGTTTTTTGGTAGTACTGTGCTGTAATAATAATCCTTGCGAGTTAATGCGGGCATTGGTTGGCTGATGCCTTGTCCTGCGACGTCGTGCATGGCGTGGCGTGGCGTGGCGTGGCGTGACATGGCAGGAAGGGTACATCGTGCCGCGCTCGCCGGCGGTGGAGGCGGTGCCCATGGACAAGCTGCCGCGGCCGGTGATCTTCCACGACGGCCGCCTCGCGCGGCGGCCGACTCCGCTGGCGGCGCTGCTCGCCGTGCTCTGGTTCCCCGTGGGGTTCGCGCTGGCGTGCGTCCGCATCGCGGCGGGCGCGCTGCTGCCGATGCCGTGGGTGTACTACGCGTTCTGGGCGCTGGGCGTGCGCGTCGTGGTGCGCGGCGCGCCGCCGCCGCGCGCGGAGCGCGCCGCGGGGCGCCGCGGGGTGCTCTTCGCCTGCTCCCACCGTACGCTGCTCGACCCGATCTTCCTCTCGGCGGCGCTCGGCCGCCCCGTGGCCGCCGTCACCTACTCGCTGTCGCGGCTGTCGGAGTTCCTGTCGCCGATCAGGACGGTGCGGCTGACGCGGGACCGCGCCGCCGACGCCGCCATGATCGGCGAGCTCCTCGACGAGGGCGACCTGGCGATCTGCCCCGAGGGGACGACGTGCCGGGAGCCGTTCCTGCTGCGGTTCTCGGCGCTGTTCGCGGAGCTCACCGACGAGGTGGTGCCGGTGGCGATGGAGAGCCGGATGGGCATGTTCCACGGCACGACGGCGAGGGGGTGGAAGGGGATGGACCCCTTCTACTTCTTCATGAACCCCAGCCCGGCGTACGTCGTCACGTTCCTCGGCAAGCTGCCGCCGGAGCACACCTGCGGCGCCGGCGGCAGGTCCAGCCACGAGGTGGCCAACTACATCCAGAGGCTCATCGCCGCCACGCTCTCCTACGAGTGCACCAGCCTCACCAGGAAGGACAAGTACAGGGCGCTCGCCGGCAACGACGGCGTCGTCGACAACGCCACCGGCAAGCTGCCATCGCCGGCGACGGCGACGGCGAACAACAGCAAGGACAAAGCTTGCTAGGAGAAGGGAAAAAAAAGGGGGAAGTGGATGTTCTAGTAGTGTAAAACTATAATGTTATTAATTTTTACCTGTGTCGATTTGCATGGGGCGGTAAATTTCCTCTTTCTTTTGGTTATTTGTACTGTGTATGCACTTGCAATGTACCAACGGGGAGTTGAATGCAATTTGCATAAGTAAAAGCAATGGGCCAGGACAAGCAAACTATTCTTGTGAGTCAGAAACTCAGAAGCATGCATCTTTCTGCAGGCAACAGCTAAGAACATAAAAGCAAATTTATTTGGTTTGGTAGATTGGGTATCACACATTACACATAGGCCAGGGCATAGGTGTTCCATTCGATTCGGCAACTGAACAACAACCCAACAAGTAAAACGACACCAGACATTATTGATATATACATACTACGAGTCTACTTATCAAATCTGGTCCAGATCAATTGAGTTGTCTCTCGTTTTTGTAAATTGCAAGCAACCAGTTTCACCAGAAGAATAACTTTCCTTTCCAAGAAGAAAAGCAATCGATTGCCACAGAAAGTGAAGCAAAGAAGAGTGTACAATCCGTGGTCGTAGATTCCATTGCTTCAGCTAAAATGAGTAACTAGCCTCGAGCTTGAACAATGAACAGAAACAAGAGTCTGGCTATAATTTTTCTAGGTGCATATAGGCGAAATGGATCTTAGTACATCTTAACTCCTTCCAGGTTACACATGCTATGCTCAGTCCTATATACACCCGGTACCGCGGCAACAATTATCGAGGGCGTGCTGCTATGTATCACAAGGGTGGATCAGTAACTTACTGTGCACACACATTGCAGCTCTTCCGGCAGAAGCCAGGTGCTTCATTGGTACCCACCATGTAGTTCGGATTCTTGGCACACTCCCCTACTGCAGCCCACTGGGGGCAGAGGACGTTCTCATCCTCGCACCCGTCAGTGGAAGCTCCCTGCTTGACAGAGATGTCGAAGGACCTCACATGGATCCATTTAGTTGCGGACCACTTCTGACCTTCAATGACCGGGCAGCTCCCGTGCAGGCTGTCAGAGTCTGTTGTTGCATCGGGGTGGAGACTGAAGAACAGAAGGGCATCACCCTTTACCGGTTTTACTGAAGAGGAGAACCAACAGTTAAACAGCTGATTAAATAATGATCATAATGGAAGGTATAACTCATATATGCACGGCTAAGACAACATGCTGAGTGCTAAGCCCACAGAATTTATCAGCTGACAAGGAACATACATAGTTCTGCATTATTTAATATCTGGTTTTAGAAGCAAAGTAACTTAAAATTCTATTACAGGCAATTCACTATACCTGCATATCCATTTTTAGCACAGTCAGACCATGTATCATCCTTGGGTTGTAATAACTTCCCCTAAAAAAAATAGTCGAGTTACTGCAAGGGAAATCCAAGTGGCTAACACTGTAGAAAGTTAAAGAGGACAGGTAAACTACCTCTGCTTCTGGAAAGATGGTCTCTCCCCCCTTCCCAACGTCTGAAAGGTACATGAGCACAGTGGCGATCCGATGTCCTCCAAGAGCTTGATTATTTTTGTCATGGAAGTAATCATAGTGTGGCTCATACTTCTCGCCATTCTGATAATGTAATATTTGAATGGATTCGCCATTATCTAAACATGGGCAAGATAATGATAATACCATTAATGATTACAAAAAATGAGGTAGAGAAATTTTAACCTAGAATGGTTAGGCATTTCGGATACCTGGTGGAAGGAACGTCCAAGCTGCAATCCTCTCCTCTATCCTAGCTACAACTTCGTCCTGCCAAATGAATAGTTCAGTTCAACTTAGTTGTTACATGTGGTACTCTGTACCAGACACAATCAGCTAAAGGCACGGTAGATTATTAATCTGACTCATCTGAAAGCAAAGGTAGCTTTAACAGTCTCTATGGTACAGAATGGAAACTGAACTACAGGTGGTTGTGTGCAGATATGTTTGCAATAGTGAACACATGGGGCAATATCCCAACTGGTCTGCCCTCAGGTTCAAATAGTAAGTTCAGATCATCACAATTACGAGCTTGAGAACTGGCCTGTTACTCAGTATTGACGTCCATATGGCAAATATGACTACGTGGTTCAGTGCTATAAGACAACAGCATAGACAGTAAGACAGATGCAAAGAAAAAATGAGCAAGGTGGAAAACAATATAAAGCATGAGAGGCAGTTACAACCCATAAGACAATGCACACAGCTCGGATTTGAAGTCCATTTAAAACAGTATACATGCAATGGTACGAGTCAAGAGGAGAGAAATTGGTGAAGCGAATCCAGCAGAGGAAACATGACATGTAAAACTAACATCAAAGGTCAATCACCCAGATATTGGTATTAATCATTAATGCCATAAAGTAACTAAGTATGGCTGATATTAAAGAGTTGCGATGTATTTTGAGCAACCAATTACATGGGCACTAAATAAAGTATACAAGAAGCATCTACCTACCAATTAATCAGAACTGAATTTTTGTCATACATTTTCACATAGCCTCATAAACAAATCACTTACTCAAATCAACACAACTGCTGGGAGGAACAAACATAATAACATTTCACTAGTGAGTACAAATTTCAGAGAAGGTAAAAGCAACAAATAATGAAGATAAGAAATAGTTCAAGTTTATTGTGGTTATATCAAGAAAAGGAAAAAAAAAACTTTTTCTAGTAGCAAATGGATGAATTTCAGCATATGATATATAAGGACTTCCTACAGACTCTGGTGTGTTCCCTACAAGCTAAAGCTAGCAATATGAACAGAACAAATGACTGTAGAGTACTTTATTACAGTACAGTCTGCATGTCACAACTGACAACTATTGAGATGAGTTGTAAGAAAAGCTGAAAACAGGTAAAAATATAAGGAATAGAAATATACATGAATTTCAAATAGTAGCATACCTTTGCAAACAATACTAATGTAAATAGGAAATAATTGATCGAATTTCATCTCTCGCAAACTACAAAAGAAAACTACCTAGGAAAAAAAATAAGCACCCCAGATTCCAATAAATATGAAGACAAAAAAAACATGGAGAAGTATTAGTACATTGAGCGAACATGATAAAAAGATATGAACCCCCAACGATGAAACTTCAGCCAAAAAAAAACATTGGTTTCAAACATGTGTTGCAGATACCAAATCACCAAAGTTGCGTATTACCAAATAGAAGCTTAGCCATATATCCCCTCTTTTAATTTGGCCATGCTAAAAAAGTATCCCCAAGCATTTTAGATGAAATGTTATCTCCAAATTGAGAGGAAACAACAAGTTCACCAAATCACAAGAAGAACTATAGTAGCCAAGTTCTGATCCAGCATTTAGTGTACTGATTGTGATAACCAACAAAAAGCTGTAAAAGACTGCATCTGCCACAGGCTATTTAATCCAAGCACATTAAATTCAAATTCTGAACTGCTTCTGCTATAAAATCCTAAATTGGTACAAGCACATAGATTAATCTCCCTTGGCAGTTTAATACTACCTAAACATGCACGAACACCAACTATAAAGACCTGGTATGGCAGTGGCATGGTAGCGCATCAAGAATCATTACCTACAAGGACTACCACCCAAAATACAAAAATCTGCTATTTTAGATTTCCAACACATATCCAATCTAAAAATACAAACTATACCGCAGCAATTCCACCAATTCCCCTTTCCATGTCGAAATTACAGTCGACACAGAGGCATTCTCCTTCCTAGATCTCTACTATTAACAGCGAGCTGAGCCAGTGAGGCCTATAACCAGGTCGGGACCAATCCAACACCTCAAAACATTATCGAAAGAACAGAACGGAATCAGGCGGTGCGGTGGCTGGCTGCTGACCTGCTTCTTCTCGAGGAACATGCCGGAGCTGGTCCGCACCTCGCTCATGACGCTCTTCCCGGACTCGTTGTCCGCCACCATCGACTTCTCCAGCTTGTCCTTCGCCTACAAATCGAATCAATCCACTATTACCCAAAAGGTTCCCCGAATGCGGCGAGATCGAGCGGGATGCCACAGTGTACACTCACCAGCGAGATCAGGTGCTCGCACTCCGCGTCCGTCAGGAACCCCTTGTGCAGGAACGCCCTAGAACGAAGCGGCGGGTCAGGATATCGCACGAACCCTAATTCGCGGCGGGATGGCCATGGGGGAGAGAGAGAGAGAGATCGTCTCGTCAGTCGTCACACTCACCTGGGGCGCCACGAGAGCTGCACGACGCGGGATGGGTCAAATGCGCCGCGGCCGCTCCCCGCCGCGGCGGCGGAGGAGGCCACTCCGGCGAGCACCAGGAGGGCCACGGCGAGGAGGCGGAGGCTGCCATGGCGGCGGCGCGAGCTGAGAGCGGCCATGGCGCGGCGCCGAGATGCGCGGAGGAGGAGGAAAAGCTTCGAAGGGGGAGGGGGAGAGAGAGGCGCGATGTAGTAGTAGTCGCGTAGAGTGAGTGACAGGTGGGCCCGACGACTCGTGGGGCCCGGCTGCCAGTGAGAGATGGAGGCGCTAGTTTGTTGGGTTCCTTCTGGAAGCTTCCGGGGTTCGCGGGGGGTGATGGACTTTGACTTTTACGTGTTGCTCGCACGGAGGCGTACTTCTTATCTGCTTGTACTTTTGGTGAAGCATTTGTGAGATCGTCCGGTGTGTGAGGGGGAGAAAAATCAAGCCAATTCCGTGTGCTATGAGAAATGCGTGTCTGTTGAGATTCAAACCTCATTTGAAACACATGAATCCCAGAAAGAAATTCTGCGATGAGTTTTCATTAGGTTAACTTTTACATTTGAATCTCTCGTCATCTCCGCGGCTACCACATGACCTTTTAAACCGATTGGTATCGGACAGCAATATTGTGACTGCTCAAGTTTTCAGTCGTCAGACCATCAAACTTCAGGGAAATCAGATGTGCATAGCTTTACTCCCATTTCCATAGCTCCAGCAGGTAGTGGCATCCAGAGTCAGAGTCAGGAGGACCAACTCACGAATAGGCAGTAAATTCAATTTCATACTATGCCTCATATGCGAGTAATTTCAGTTTTTTTTTCTGTTGTTGTTTGGAAAACAGAGTAATTTATGTTCAACAGCATTGGCATTTAGAACGGTAAAAACCTGTCAAGACAAATTGGACTATAATTCCTATTTCAGACATTTTTTATATGTAGTTACAGAATAGTCCAGTTCAGTATATTGACAGCCGTGTTATCTTTTGCTAACAAATCCAGACGTGCAGTGCAGGCACAGAATCAAGTCAAACAACAAACAAGATCTGATGTTTGTTCGTTTCCAGCTTCTTAAAAATAGCAGCAGAGTAGAAACACTCAAAGCGAAAAAAGGTAGAAGTATCCTAAAAATAAAACAGGAATCCTGATACAGAGAGGTTTCAGAGTTTTACAGCTCAAAAGGAAAAACCCATTTTATTTCAGGAGAACTAGGTCTGATAAGAGTAACTGCATTTTCGTTCACAAAGAAAACGGAGTAACTGAATGATGGTGCAGATGAAGTCATGAAACTATGCAGGGGGAACGCATTGGTGCTTAAAAACAGCAATACAACCTATCATGGTAACCTAAACAGCAAGGCAACATATAATGGTAACCAAGCATCATGGAAGTGTCCATTCTTGTTTTTCTCTCAAAACAAACATTGGCCATCCAAGGTGCAGAAACAAAATGTCACACCAGATGAGCAAATCAAGCACTATTATTACGTATACCCTGATTCCTGATAATTCAGTTGATCAGTACAGGAGTGAAGCATAACATTTGCCGGAATGACCGAAGGAGGTCATTTAATGTAATTAAGATAAGAAGGGAGTGAAGCATAACATAAGGTGGCCTGCATAATCTAGCAGTCCACATGAACAAAACAAATACCTCACACAAATTCATTTGAAGTCATAATGGAGCAATTCATGCATAGATCACTAAGAAATGTGTATTCTAAAAAATAAAACATATGGCTGAGCGGACCAAACTTTCAATCATTTTGTTGTACTGAACAGCATAACATCTGCTTATTACAGTGAATGAATTTATAAATCTCACTAGCAGAAAACAACAATAATGGTGTAATACCAAAAGGTACCTCTTCTATCTCTCGATTTAACAAGGTATGATTCATATGCAGCAAATAGTGCATATGGTATTGAACTATTGACATTTGGAATGACAAAATACCAAATGTCCTCAAAATTTGTCTCCTAAAATACAAGGAGCTCTCCTGGATCCCAATTCCATTCTAACAACTTATTATTGCCTGATGATAAATTACAAATGGAGATCACATACACCTCCAAGAACACAACAAAAAATTTGCATGCGCAGCTAAGTTCTCATGATCAAACTCTCCTCGTAACCAAAGCACAAGGCACACTTTGTCGAATTATACCGTGATCCGTGACCAAAACTACAACACGGATCATATGCATCGCTGAGTTTGGAAGGGAAATTTGTATCACCTTTTTATACCGGATTCAGTCAAGAAATCCGGTTTGCCGGAGAACGGCGTCGCGCACGCGGCGGAGGTCGCGCCCCTTGAGCGTCCGGCCGACGCCCTCGAGCATCGAGGACGGCTTCACCGGCCCGCCGAAGCCGCCGCCGGCGGACGCGCGCGCCACCATCTCGTGCGGGGGCAGCATAGCGGCGTCCCCACGGAGGAGCTCCTCGTCGTCGTCGTCGTCGTATCCGTCGCCTGGCACGCCGGCCAGATGGTCCCACCCGCTCCTCCGCGGCGGCGGCGGCCGGACGGGCACCTTCACGGGAGCCGACTGGTGGTACGGCACCGCGGGGGGCTGCTCCGGGAGGTGGAACCTCACCCTGGGGGCCGATGGGATCGCGCGCGCGGCGGACGGGGGCGACTGGGTCTGCGCCGAGGACAACGCCGCCGCCTCCGCGGCGGCGATGGTCGCCTTGCGGCGGAGCAGCGCCCCGGCGGCGCCGGCGGTGGCCACGGCAGCAGCGCCGCCGCGCCCGGAGAGCTTCCTGTCCCCCTCGTGAAGCGCGGCGAGGAGCCCTACGTGGCCGCCCTGGACGCGGGCCGGTTTACCGGACGGATCGGGAGGCGGCGGCGGCGGAGGGTCCGAGGACGGGGCCGGCGCGAAGAGGAGGTCCCCCTCGAGGAGCTCGTCGCCCGCCGCGGTCGGGGAGGTGGGGAGAGACGGGGTCGGCGAGGTGAACATGCCGAGGAAGCGCTCCGCCGGCGGCGAGCGGAGCGTGCGGGCGGCGGAGTCCATGGTGGTGGTGGTGGTGGTGGTGGTCCCCACTCCGGCGAGGGCCGGCGGTGTCAGGAGGTGGGGGCTGCGTGCTTGACTTTTTCGAGCATCGTGTGGGGGCTTTGGGTTCTATATACTCCGGCCCACAGATTGAGATTTCCTAGGCCCATCTTGGGCTGGGTTAACGTAGGCCCATATCTCGAAGAGGAAGTAGGAAATGTACATAGACGGCCCCTCATCTTATCATCGGATTACAAAATTGTCCCCCGACAACAAAACCAGATATATGGCATCCTCGACTTATAAAACCGCGTCACTCTGGGTCCTTAGACAGTTTTGACCCTAATTTTGTCTGACGTAGCATATAAGTTAGCGTGGGACCCACATGGGTCCCACGTGTCTGTGAAACCTCCCTTTTTCTTTCCCTTTCCCCATCTCCCGTCTCTTCCCCCATCTCTTCCTCATGTCTAGAGTGGCGGCCCCAATGATGGCACAGGAGGTGGCTAACGAGGTCCATCCTCACTCCCCTCCTCCAACTCCTTCCTCGGCATCCCCGACCCCTCCCTCTCTCTCCTGACGATCTTGATTGAGCGGCGGCACACCCTTCCCGACCCCATGGACCCCGACGACGGCATGGACAGTAGGAGGCACCCGACGAGCTCCACTCCTCTCTTCCTTCTTCTAGATCCCTCTTCCTCGACGTCCTCGACCCCTTCCCCTCTCTCCCAGCGATCTTGAGGAAGAGCGGCGACGGCAACCTTCCCGCCCCTACGGACCCCGATGACGGGGTAGGTAACGGCCGACGAGGTACACACGCTCCCCTCCTCCACCACCCTCTTCCTCGACTCCCCCACCCCCTCATAGCGCTCACGTGTTGTTGCGCCCTCCGTCCCCGGTCTATTGACTTCCCGTGGAGCGGTGGCCTCTCGAAGCCCCTCTTCCCGCTTCTGGGAGGTGGTCTTGGGAGAGCACGTCTGACGTGCAGCGCTCGCTAGCACTGTCCTCTCGGTCGCCAGCGATAGCCGGGATGTGCACGGAAAGGACGACGCACAACGCATTCTTGGTCTTCCTCCACATCCCGTCCATTGCTCCTAGCACACGCATGCGTCGCCACTGCCACCGGTCCCCGGGCCTCTTCCTCTGCCGCCTCGTTCCACCGGCCTTCGCAGCAATCGCTTCGCCCTGCCCAGACAATGATGAGAAAAGTGATAGAGAGGAAAAAGGGAGAGAAGAGGGGAAAGAGAGAGGGTGATGACGTGAACACCTTGACACATGGGGTCCATGTGGGTCCCACGCTGACTTAGTTGCCACGTCAGACAAAACTGAGGTCAAAACTGCCTAAGGACTCAGAGTGAACTGGTTTTGTAAGTTATGGTATGACATATCTAGTTTTACGGTTGGGGATGTCTATGTAATCCGATGATAAGATGAGGGACCTAATATATACTTTTTCCGAGGAAGTAAAGCTACGGCCCAAATGGAATAACGGACTGAACTTTGAACCCACCGGTTTCTTCCACCGTACGCTTCCCCCGTTCCGCCAGCTGGCCAGCTCAACTTGTCTTGGGGTTGGGGGGGGGGGGCAAAAAAAACAAAAAAAATAAAAGGAAGCGAAAGGAAAGGAGAATCTCGGCGCGGCCCCCGCCCTCTTAAATACTACGCCGCCGCGGCCGCAAAAGCTCCGAGCACATAGCACGCGCGCACTCGTCTCGCCGCGTCCACACCCATCGGCTCCAACACCGACGAGTAGCTCGGTCGCCGGGGCCGCCGCCGCGCGCGCGCGCCACCGTGTCGCGACTTCCTCCGTGACCGGGCCGATCGATCGCGAGGCGCGGCGCGGCGAGGCCGGCATGGCGGCACCGGGAGATGGGGAAGAGAAGAAGGCCGGGAGCGGGAGGAACAAGCACGGGTTCCCGCGCGGCTTCCGCTTCGTGCCCCGGGACCAGGAGCTCCTCGACATCCTCGACGACAAGCTCCGCGGCGCCCCGCTCGACCGCGCGCTCGACGCCGTCTTCCACGACACGCGGATCCTCGACTTCCACCCCGCCAAGCTCTACGGTAGCCACCGCCTCTCGATCCCTCTCCCCCTCTCTCTCTCTCTCTCCTTCTTCTTCTTCTCCGGCGACGGGCTGGGTGGGTGCTCTTGGGGATTTGATTTTGACTCGGGTGGATTGGACTGGTTTGGGGCGACGCAGGGATGTACGCGGAGGACGAGGAGAACGGCTACATCTACTTCTTCAGCACGATAGAGTTCAAGGCAGCCAAGCCCAAGCAGAAGAAGTGGCCGCGGCGCGCGGCGCAGGGCGGACGGTGGAAGGCCGTCCTCGGCTCCAGCCAGATGGTGGAGGTTGGCGGCGTCCCCGTCGGCCGGAAGCTCTCCATGGAGTTCTACGTCAAGGGGGTCAGGACCAACTGGGGCATGCACGAGTTCGTCAGGATCATCGGCCCCAACATCGAGGTAAACTCCCCATGTTGTATCTCCTTGTGATGATCGAATTCATTTGGTCTGATTTGGATGCAATTTGTGCGATCTTGAGTTCTTGACTCGTACAATTTTTTCTCTGAACTTTCGTTTCGCCAAGGTTGCGGATCTTGCCGTGTACCGCCTACACAAGCTATGGACGAACGGCGAGGAGAAGCCGGGAGACCTCGCCGCGGACGTTGCCAAGAGCACGAACCAGAGTGGACAAGCGTCGGCGGCGGACTACTACCAGACTTACCAGAACGCGGTCTCTCAGGCGTATGCGTATGCGCCGCCGTACGTCCTCCAGCCAGGATGGAGCCAAGGGTACCCCTACGATGTCGCGGCGGCGCCACCGACCGCGCCCTGGCCTGTCTGTTGGGCGCCGCCGTCCGCGCCGGGATCCTATGACTGCTGCTACGCGTCCACGTTTTCAAGGCCGCCGCCGCCACCACCAATTGCTGCGAGCACGCTGGACAAGGCGCCGATAACCAGTACCGACCACGGCGCATCAACGAACACTTCGGCGGCGACACCCGTGGCGAACAACAAGCCGCCGCCGCCACCAGTTGCTGCGACAGCGACCACGCTGGGCAAGAAGGGGGAGGGCAAGGGCAAGGCGCCGACGACCACCAGTACCGATCACGCCGGATCAACGAACACCTCGGCGCCACCCGCCGCGAACTACCAGCCGCCGCCGACGACGACTACGCCGCCGCTGCAGGGCACGCAGCACGTCTTCGCACCCGGCGTCGTCGTCGGGCATGAGGACGAGGAGGGCTACCTCATCGTCGACGAGGTCAACACGTGGCGCAACACGCAGCAGCTCGTGCTCGAGGATGACGACGACGACGACGACGGCCGTGCCGCCGGCGCCGGTGCAGGTGAGGGTGGCGCTTCAGCCTCAGGGCGGTGACAGTCTGACATCAGCAGATTAAGAGAGACCCTGAGGCGTATCAGTTAATCATGCGTGTAGTTACTAGTTAGGCTCCGATTTGAGCATTGGAATTTCCAGATTTCCCGACTGCTTAGCTTGGTTTTGATCTGCCCGACAAATTTCCGCCAAATTCGTAGTGTTCAACTGATCAACTTCATGCTCTTTCTGTCCGTTGGTTATTACTTTACTTGTTCTACGTGAGATTGCAATTCTGATCTGCAACTGCTTGTAATCTGGATGATCAATAGCTGCTTCCCTGCTTTATGATTGTGGTTTTGCTGGTTTTGAAATGCTCGAGTTAAATTGGCTCTCCGTGCCACTTGATTTGGGGTAAATTAATGTTTGATAGATGAACCATACTTTTCTAACATGGGAGCCATCTTTTAATTTTATGATATTGATATCAAAGTGACATGCATATTCATCAAAAAGCTTTTTTATGAAAAGGTGACAGAAATAAGTTTGTGGTGGTGCGTGCCTGGTTAAATCATGAAATTTTAGCTTTGGGCTCTAATTGATTGTTCATAGTCCAAAGTACTATTCAGCAAGGAAACAAGATCACTGAAATTCGCTCCAGTCAAAACTATCTTGGGTGAACTCAACTTAGGCCCTCTTTGTTTAGGCTTATAAGCCAACTTATAAGTCGAAAAGTCTAAGCCAAAACAAACAAGCAGTTTTTTTATTTGGCTTTTTTGAAGCCATAAGCCACTCTAACACTATTAAGCCAAAAGCTAGGTTGGAGAAGCTTTTTTGGCTTATATGAGATAGATGTATGACTCCACCACTAAACTTAGGACATTAAATCCACTGGCTTATAAATCATATAAGCCAATAAGCTGACTTAAAAGTCTAGGCCAATAAGCCTAAGCCTAAACAAAGAGGGCCTTAGACTAGAGAGAGAGAGAGAGAGTAGCTACAACCTACAAAATCCTAGAATTTCATGCGATTAATTTAAGTGAGCGCATGATTTTGTCAACATCTCGATCCATTTGTCAATGGACTGGGGCTGTGTTCGGGAGTGAGGGTTGGGAATCCACTCCCTAGCACGTAAAACGAAGCAGCGTTTAGTACATGATTAATTAAGTATTAGCTAAAATATATTTAAAAAATAGACTAATATGATTTTCAAAAGTAACCTTCATATAGAAAATTTTTGCAAAAAATACACCGTTTAGCAATTTGAAAAGTGTGTGCGTGGAAAACGAGTAAGGTGAGTTGGGAAAGTGTCGACGTTTGATAGTCACCACTACGGTATTAGGATGGTATGGGGATCGTCGGTACCAGAGTATATACGAGATTGAAGTAAAAGAGATTGAGACAAGGATGTTTATATAGGTTCGGGCCCCTTATTTGACAGGTAATAGCCCTACTCCTATTGGCTGAAGCCGGTGTTGCTCTTATTCATCATAATCACACCAGTACAACAATTGAGATAACCTATCTATATGTTGTCGACTTGGCGGCATGGATAACCAACTCGCGATCGACGACAAGGTAGTCTTCCTCCTTGAGTATGAACCCGTCGAGATCAGAGATGGTGCTAGATCCCTTTTGCCGGCCTCCGTTGGCATCGGATGGGGTATGTCTAGGCTAATCTCTAATGTCGATATTTGGTGGCATATTGGCTTGTGTGTATGTTGTGTCTTGTTGGTCTTGTGGCTTCCGTCTCCCCTCTCCTCCTAGGGGAGCTTGTATTTATACCCATAGATGTCCCCTTCTCCAACTCTAAGTAGAACTAGAAAGACAAGTATGGATACGATTCGAGTAGTCCTTATAGTATCCATATAAAACTCTATTTGTCATTTCTTATCCGGAACTCCCTCTATATATGAGGTATGATTCCGTATAAGACTTGGTATATGGTAGGCCCCGCCGAGCTTAGTCGATTACTATTGGGTATGTGGTATCCATAAATCTGACAAAAAGTATAGGAGTACCATGTAAGAGCATACCCAGGAGCTCATCTATATTTGATCCTCCAAATACCCATATGGTGTATCATCCAAAAAAGATTCCTCATCCATATCCCTTTTAATCCAACAGATTATCCATATTACATCATTCATATCCCATCATCCTATATTTTAGTAATATCTTTCAACTAATCTTACATTTGTATTTTAAGGGATATATTTTGAATGACTTAATTTTAACGGTGTTGTTTATCGCGATAATATTTTGAAATGAGTAAACTTTAACGGATATATTTTTAATGGGTAATTTTTAATTGATATATTTAAAATGAGTGAAGCATTTTTTATGTGTTGAACGGCTACATTTCCAACGGCTAGCTAGCTCATTCAAATTGTCCAACGGCTAGTACATACATGTAAAGTTTAGCTCTATATATACCACTACATTGCTTGCTATCTTTTTGCACCATCCACATTATTGTGCATAGTTCTTACTCAATGAGCTTCCTTTTGAGACATGTTTTATTGGATGAATCATCGTCATCGACGATGAAATCATTGTTGCTTCAAGAAGATCTAGTTAAACATCTATGGCAATTTCATGGTAGGAACTAGTGTAGTATGCAACCTCCCATTTATGTAGTAGGCAAGTCTAATTATGTATGCAACCTCGTTTACATATGAAATCCATCAATTATGTATGCGACCTCATTTATGTATGCCATCCATCAATTAAGTATGCAATCCTAATGTATGCAACCTGTATGTGCTCACAATTAATCATAGCATTCTTGCATAGTACAGCATAAAGGTCACAAAACATTAAGTTCCAACAATAACCATTACATAATACATCAAAGCCTACACGGCATACAACATAAAAGTTCACAACCCATTAGAAAATAGTAATAAATAGTACATATCCATACATCATGAAATCAATCCATATGAGCCTTTATGATCTCCTGCTGCAAACGCAAGTAATATGTTTTTCTTGGCCCATCCATAGCACTAAGATCCATATTCATAATTCTTTCTTCTCTTTCATGGGTTTCTATATCTAACTTTCGTTTTTCTACTTTCAACCTCTCTTTCTCTAGTGAAATAACTTCAACCAACCGGTCATTTCTTTCCTCCCTAGATTGTGCACTCATCTCCTTTTTCTCTGACCACATGTTATTTAATGCAATAACTACAGGACTACTCTCACTTGAGCATGAAGAAGTATTACCTCGCGGGCATTTTGCCTTTTCCACCTTCTTCCCAGGTGGTCTCACTAAAGGATCAGAGGTATTAATGTCGGGGCTGTAATGAAATTCACTAGAGTTTGTGCTTGCAGATGGTCTCACTAAAGGATCGACATGAGCCTTCTGTCTTTTCTGGAACAACCTATCATTCCACTTTGGATGATGATGCAAAATCTCCCAACAGTGCATTAAAGAAAATGTCTTCTTCTCTGCTGACTTGTACAAAGTAAAAGCCTGAGTTATCTGCAATAATTGGCAAAGTCGATAATTGGAAAAACAATATTTTTTTAAAGCAAGGTACTAGCTGAATGAGATGCTTACATAATCTTGAACAACCATTCCACTTTGAGGTCCATTAAGAATCTGCTCATAATATCCACAAAACTTGTTAACTTGTTCTTGAATGGTACCCCAACAGTTGTTAAGTGAATTTTGGTTTTGATCTGAGGGGAAATTTTTGTTTTCATGGAAGTATTGATGAATCCTTGCCCAATAAGAGTCACGGTGTTGCTCAACACCTGTGATTGCATCTAAAGTTGTATTCAGCCAAGCTGACACCAACATTTGATCTTCCGCAGTGTTGAAATTTTTTGATCGCTTATTGTTGGGTCTAGAGGACCCTCCAACTTCAGCACTTGGCTGTTCACCAACCATAGGACTATGTTGTGGCTGCTGTCCTGTTGGGGGAAAATTTTGACTAGGATCCCAATTTTCTACATCAATGTTTGAACCCAACAAATTAACATAGTTGTCCATGTATTCACATCATAGCAACATAAATAAAATGAACATAAAAGCACAGTACAAATATAGCAACATGAATCTAATTTGTACTCTATTCTTATTACTTTTCTCTACTATGTGAATATAAAATCAAAGTAAGTAACATTCCAATATATTTTCTCTCCTTCTCTGCTATTACTACTTAACATTCCACTGTATTTTCTTTCCTTCTCTTCTACTTTTCTTCTCTACCTTCTTTGCTAGTACTACTTTGCAGCGGGATGGCCGATAGGCGGCGGCCGAGCTGGCAACAGGCGACGGCGGGCATGCAGCCAAGGGGCGGCGGCGGACGACCGGACTGGCGAGAGGCAGGGGGGATGCACGCGACGGCCGCGGAGGCGGACAGGCAGGGAAGAGCCATGGATGGTCGGGAAGAAGGCAGCCGGCAACGGGTGGGTGAGAGGCGGAGGAGGCAAGCGACGGCTGCGCGCTTGGCAACAGCGGTAGGCAGCTGCCGCGGGCAGGGCGACGGCGGAAGTCTGCAGGCGTGCGCATGGCGACGACGGCAGACGGCAGTCGCGCGGCTCCAGATCTGGTACGCCTCTCCCTCTCCACTCTCACTCCACCCTCCCTCTCCACCATCCGCTGAAAAAACAACCCAAAAAGGTGCATGGAGGACTCACCTTCGCTGGCCGGCCACGACGGCGATGGAGAGGAGGTCGCGGAAGTTTGGATAGGGGCGGGAGCTCGATCCAGATGCGGTTGTTACGATTTGGCGTGAGGAGAGAGACACGCTATTTTTGGCTTTTCTCTCTCTCTGTTTAGCGCATCCGACACTTTTAGCGCTTTGGATGGCACATCTCCTGGACCTTGTTTTTTCGCTCCTATACGCCAAAATGCGGATGGAGTAGCGGGTAGCGTATGTCCTGGGATGCTCTGACAGGGAGGTACCTAGTGTGCTTATCGCCTCTGCACCCGCTCTGCCTCTCCTTCACTTGGTACGCCGTACGTGTATGGTAAAAAAAAAAAAGAGTACTAGCTGGCAAGCTGCTGTTTGTTAATGGGCCTACCCCAATTTGCGTGAGGGCCTTAATGGGCTCAACTGGCGCGCCTCGGAAAGTTGGGCCTCACACAGGCCCATATCTTACGGGGAAAGTAAAGCTACGGCCTAAATGGAATAACGTCTTTGCGCCACCGTTTTCTTCCGCAGCTGGCCAACTCGAGCCACCTCATCAGGAAAAAAAAAAAGAAAGAGAGAAAAAAAAAATCTCGCCTCCCTTTCAAATACGCCGCCGCGGCCGCAAAGCTTTCGCTCGGAGCACACGCACGCGCGGCGCGACGGCGCGACCTCGCCTCGACACGAGCTCTCGTGATCTCGTCTCGCCGCGTCTAGCTCGCCGGCGCCGCCGCGCGCGCGCGTCCCCTCGCCGCCGTACGTGTAGCGGAGCGACTCCCTCTCTCCCTCCCGCCTCACCTCCGGGACCGGTCGGTCGGTCGATCGATCGACGGGGCGAGGGGATGGCGGCACCGGAAGGCCAGAACAAGTTCGCGGGCGTCCGCTTCTTGCCCAAGGACCTGGAGCTCCTCGCCATCCTCGACGCCAAGCTCCGCGGAAGCCCGTTAGGCCCCGTGGAAGCCATCTTCCACGACACGCAGATCCTCGACTTCCACCCGTACAAGCTCTACGGTATCCACCGCCTCGATCGATCGATCTCCCTCTCTCTCTCTCTTTGTCGATCTCCTTCTTCTTCTCCGGCGACGGGTGGGTGCCTGGATCAGATCATGCAGTTTTGGGGATTTTGATTCGGGATTTCGGGTGGATATTACTCGACTGATTTTGCAGAGATGTATGCTGAGGACGAGGAGGAGGAAGGCTACATCTACTTCTTCAGCACGATGCAGTTCAGATGCAGGAAGATTGTGGAGCGCGCGGCGCAGGGCGGCCGGTGGAAGGTGAACAACTGCGAGACTCTGGAGGTTGGCGGCGTCGCCGTTGGCCGGAAGTTCACCATGAATTTCTACGAGCATATCGGCGGCGACAACGACCTCATCTGGACCAACTGGGGCATGCAAGAGTTCGCCAGGATCATCGGCCCAAACAAGGAGGTATTCCATTCGGAAATCCACTTCTGAATCTTCGTTCAATGATCGGATACATTTGATCTCATTTGGGTGAAATTTTTCTGATCATTTTGGCCAAAAGCTCGCGGATCTTGCCTTGTACCGCCTATACAAGAAGAAAATAACAAGGGGGACAGGCGAGGAGAAGCCGGAAGACATCGCCGCGGCTAGCGATGGCGATACCGAGAGCAGCATGAACAAGCGTAGACGTGTAGAAGCGTCGGCGGCGGCCATGGCGCTGCCACCGCCACCGCCATCGCCAGGCCTGCCTGGAACAATGATGTTCATGGCGGCGGACCAGGCGAACGTGGCCTCGACCTCGCAGGAATGGCACGGCCAGTTCGCCAACGGCGCTGCGGCGGCGCCGAGTCCTAGCGGCTGCTGGCCCTGGGCGCCACCGCCGACACCGAGCGCAGTGGAGCCTTTCAGCTTCTGGGCCAGCGCGTCGGCGGCGACTCCTCCTGCCGCCGCGAACTACCACCCGTCGCCGCAGCCGCAGCCGCTGCCGCCGCAGGGCGGCGAGTACTACTCCAGACACGGCGCCTTCTCGGTGGCGCCCGTGCCCGCGTCCGCCTGCTCGACGCCGTCCCCGGAGGCGGCGACCAGCTGCCTCTTGGCTACGACGTCACCTCTGCCGGCGGCAGGTACTGAGGGCAGTGACAGTCAGCAGCAAGAACCCCCCTGCGAATTGATGGAATTTTGAAATTTTGGCGAATTGCTTATAGCTGATTCTGATCTGGCCGACAAATTTCCGTCAAATTCGCAGTGTTCAACTTCGTACTCTTTTTCTGACCGTTGGCTGTTACTTCACTAGTTCTACATATGTGAGACTGCATTGTTTTTTGTACTAGTATTAATCTTGGTGATCTGTTGTTCTGAAATGCTTATAAATTTTGCCCTTGTGCCTTGAAGAATTTGCTATGTGCGTCACTTGCTTTGATTTGGGATGAAATGTTTGATGAACAATCATTTTTAATTACCACATGCATAGGAGCTTCAGGAAGGGCTTGAATTTGACAGTTGCTATGTGTTTAGCCATGATGCATGTAGTTTTGTGATAGTACCAACGCGGGATATTCATAGGATTTTTGTGGAGGTTCCTGTTAAATCATTGAATTTTAATTTGGAGGCTCTGAAGTGTTCATAGTCCAAAATACTGTCAAGTAAATTCAAGTGATGAGGTCATGACTTTAATTTTTCATAGCAAATAACTAGATTAATAGACCGGCATGATTTTCTCTAAAACAAAATAGTTAGATTCTGTTTCTGGCAAGGAAACAAGATCACTGAATTTCGTTCCGGTCAAAACCATGTAGCTTGAACTCAACTTGGACTCTAGAGAGAGAAAGAGATACTATATCATGCAAGATATAGTAGATACAACCTACAAAATCCAAGAATTTCATATTTTTCATACAATGTAAGTGAGCGCATGATTTTATCAACATCTCGATCCATCTACTGATGAACTGAAGATATGTAGTACCAGCTAACAGGGAGGTGCTCACGCTGGTCGCCTTTGTTCTACAGCTCGAAATAAAAAAAAAAATTAATATGTACCAATTCTTTTGAAACGTGTATATTTTCTTAAAACCGGTGGAAAAAATATTTCCAAATCTTATTTGCTGCAGCTCTGCCTCTCCTTCAGTTGGTACGCGTATGGTCGAAAAAAAAAAGACAGTACTAGAAACAGCGGTTTTTAATGGGTTGAGCCCAATTTTCCTGATGGACTTAATGGGCTCAACTGGCGTCCCTCGGAAAGTTGGGCCTCAGATAGGCCCATATCTTGCGGAGAAAGTAAGCTTCTCGCCGTGCTCGTCCACATTCCGCCAGCTGGCCAGCTCGAGCCACCTCATCAGGGGAAAAAAAGGGAAAAAAAAATCTCGCCTCTCCTTCCTTACAAATACGCCGCCGCGGCCGCAACCCGCAAAGCTCGGAGAACGCACGCACGCACGCGCGCGCGCGACACGCGACGTCGACACGAGCTCTCGTCTCGCCGCGTCCACACCAATCGGCGCCGCCGTGTAGCGAAGACTAGCTAGCTCCCTCTCCTCCGCGAGACCGGCCGATCGATCGGGGCATCGCGCGCGGCGCGCGCGGGCGGGGCTAGCTGGGCATGGCGGCACCGGAGGATGGGGAGGACAAGAATTTCGGGAAGAACAAGCACGGGCTCCCGATCGGCTTCTACTTCGCGCCCACGGACCAGGAGCTCCTCGCCATCCTCGAGGCCAAGCGCCTCGGCCGCCCGCTCTCCCGCGCGCACGACGCCTTCTTCCACGACATCCGCATCCTCGACTTCCACCCCGCCGAGCTCTACGGTATCCACCCTTCTCCGTCTCTCTCCTTGTCCCCTTCTTCTTCTTCTCCGGCGCCGGCGACCGGCTTGGTGGTGGGGATTTGATTCGGGTGGATTTGGAATGATTTGGGGGCGGCGCAGAGAAGTACGCCAAGGACGAGGAGAAGGGCTACTTCTACTTCTTCAGCAAGAGGGAGTTCCCGACGAGCAGCAAGAAGCGGCCGCTGCGGGTGGCGGAGGGCGGCGCGTGGAACAGCTCCGGCGCCGTTTACAAGGTGGTGAAGAGCAGCAAGTCCGGCGGCGGCTACGACGTCGGCCATAAGAAAACCCTCGTGTTCCACCAGCGTTTCCCCGGCGACAAGGAGGCCGTCAAAACCAACTGGGCCATTCAGGAGTTCACCAGGATCATCGGGCCCCAGAACGAGGTATAAATCAAAAATCAAGCCACGATTTATTCCCACATTTCATCTTCTTGTTGTGAGGATTGAATTGATCGAGTTCATCTTGATCTCATTCGGGTGGTGCAAATTTGTGCCGAATTTTGACTCAGAGTTTTCTTGAACTTTAATTTGCCAAAAGGTTCCGGATCTTGCCGTGTACCGCCTGTACAAGATGAGGAAGGAAGGCAGGGAGACGCCTGCAGACCTCGCCGCCGACGAGGCCGCGGCCGCGGCGGCCATGAACAACCGTGGACAACAAGCGTCGGCTGCGGCCATGGCGCTGCCACCGCCGGCGACGGGCCTGCCTGGGGGAAGGATGATGTCCATGGCGGACAAGGCGAACATGGCCTCGACATCAAAGGCGTACGGGCCGTCAAAGTCAAGCTCATCGCAACTCCAGCAGGATGCGGCGGCGGCGGCGGCGCCACCGAACGCAGCAGGGGCTAGCAACTGGGCGCCGAGGCCTTGCAACTGCCGGGAGTGCGCGCCGGCGGCGGGACACTATGGCTACTTCGCGGCCGCGGCGGCCATGAACAACCGTGGCGGACAAGCGTCGGCTGCGGCCAAGGCGCTGCCACTGCCGGCGCCGGGCCTGCCTGGGGTAAGGAGGATGTCCATGGCGGACAAAGCGAACATGGCCTCGACATCAAAGGCGTACGCGACGTCGCAGTCAAGCTCATCGCAACTCCAGCAGGGTGCGGCTGCGGTGGCGGCGCCGCCGAACGCAGCAGGGCCTAGCAACTGGGCGCCGAGGCCTTGCAACTGCCGGGAGTGCGCGCCGGCGGCGGGACAGTATGGTTACTTCGCGTCCATGGTTCCACGGCCGTCGCTGGACCGGAAGGGCAAGGGCAAGGCGCCGATGGACTGTGCCGAGCAGGCCGGCGGCGGCGGCGGCTGTCACGCGGAGTCAACGAGCACTCCGGCGCCGCCGAAGGGCGCCGAGTACTACGGATGCAGCGTCGCCGTCGAGGATGATGACGAAGAATTGCTGAAGTTTCTGCAGGCGATGGTGAGGGGCGAGGAGGTGGAGGGTGATGGCGACCACGCCATGGCCGACGAGCGCGGCCCGCAGCAGGGCTCCTCCCCGGTGGCGGCGGCGGCGGCCTCCGGCTCCGCGCCTGCAGGTCATGACGGTCGCCGTGGCTCGCTGCAGGGTGGCCACCATGGATCCTCCTCCCCCACCTCATTGGCGGCCGCCGCCGCCACCGGCGACGACGTCACATCTGCCGCCAGTGCAGGTGACGACGTCAGTGGCAGTCAGCAGGAAGACCACCCTGCGCGTTGAACACTGAAATTTGAAATTTGAATTTGAAATCTGGGACAAATTTTCGTCGAATTTGCAGTGTTCAACTTCTTACTCTTTTCTGATCATTTGGTGTTGTTACTTCACTAGTTCTATGTGAGAGCTGCAATTCTTTACTAGTAATCCTGGTGATCTATTGTTGCTTTACGATGGTGATTTGCTTGTTCTAGAATGCTCGAGATTATATATTTGTTTTGCCTGAGATGAATTGGTTCTAGTGTACTGTCACTGATTTGGTATGAATGTTTGACAGATGAACAATCATATTTACCATATCTGGGAGATGGATGAAGGGATTTGAATTGACTGCTTTTATGCTAACCTGTAGTTTTATGATATGAAAGTGATATGCAAAAGCCATCCTGTAGTTTTATGAAATGTATGAAGCAGAGGTCTAAGTTTGAAATGGACAAACTGTATTCTGTATTTCTGTTTTAAGCTTATGTCTCTGTGTAATAATGGTGCAATTGAACAAATGTTGATCTGCATAGATGCAAGTCTTGATCACTATTTTCTGTGTGGTGACACATGGAGCAATTCTTGCACCGTACTACTTTAGGCTTAGACGCTTTCTCTCAAAATATCATGTTAATAGTTATGCAATATTCTCAAAATATTTGGCAATATTCATGTGCCACCCGAATTTCATATCTAAACTCAATTCACCAGAGAGAAAGAAGAGACAAATCCACTAAATGAACAACAATGCTTAAATACTATATTCACACCATGGAGTAGTGTATGCTGGTGTACTACTCAGTATCAGCTAGTGCAAACTCATGGTAGGAGATCACTGATCATTGGTTACAGAGAGATATTTGATCAACTCAGAAGATATTCTAGCTATCAAATTCTAGATTTTACATGCAAGCTAAGGCCAGTGCGTCTGTGCGTGCATGATTTTGTCCAAACACTAGATGCTGCTCCTATACATGTAAAACATCTAGATCGGCCTTCAAATGGGCCGGGCCCAATTTGCGAGAGCAAAGTAAGCCCATTAACACCCAACTAAACACGTCTTAAATCACGGAGACGCTCCATTGATGCCGGCCAAATCAATCGCTAGTTTTCACAACCGTCTTACGGCGATGGCCGCCGGCGGCGGCGGCGGCGACGACGACCAACGTTTCGATCTCCCCGACGACCCTCCTCCTGCGCATCCTCCGGCTCGTCCCATCCAAGGAGGCCGCGTCGACCGGCGCGCTCTCGCGGCGGCGGGGCTCGCTCTGGCGGCGCCGTCAACCTCGCCGCGCGCGTCTACTTCGACGGCGGGGTCAGCCGCAGCGTCAGCCTCGACGAACGGGAGGAGGCCTTCTCCTCCCGCCGCGACGCCTTCGTCCGCGCCTCGCCAGGCGGCGTTCGCGGCGGCCGCCCCGCCGGAGGCAACGGCGGCTGCCGCGGCGTCACCAGGCTCACCCTCGACGTGCAGGCGAACTGCCCTGCAACTCCTTGATCTCCAAGTTCCTGAACAATGGCGGCGAGACGACGGCGAGGTGGACGTGGTTGACCTCGTGGTCTCCCACCCTGCGGCGCGCCGCGTCGAGGATCTCCGCGTCCGCGTTGTCCCCTGCAGGTACCGCTCCTACTCCGACGACGACGAGGAGAAAGAGGCGAGATGAGACAGCGGCGTGTACAGCCTGTCAGCCTCACCGTCGAGTCCGCGTGCTGGACATCACCGGGTGCAGTGCACCAGGCTCGCTCTGCCGTCCGCCGCCGCCGCCGCGTTCCCGCGCCGCTGCGTCGTGCGGCTCTGGCATCTGCAGCGCCTCATCGACGCCGCGCCGGGGCTCACCACAGTGCACCTAGAGTCCGTGTCCGTCTACTTCGACTTCGGCTGTTCGGCAACCACCCCTACTAGTACTACTACGATGACGACGAACAAGACTCCGACTCCGATGAGTCGGAGGAAGAAGAGTCGTTCGCCGGAGACGACACCGGACCGGGTGGAGAGTCCGGCAGCGAGAGCGACACGGCGGAAGAAGCGCGCCTCCTCCTCCGCTGCCCGGCGGCCACCACACCCGTGCTGGCACTGTGCAATTCAAGCACCTACGACAACGACAACGGCGGCGGCTGCATCGCGATCGACGCGCCGAAGCTACGCTCCTTGCACAACCTCGAGTCCTCGTCGCCGGCAAGGCGAGACGAGAGCCGAGCACCTCCGCACTTTCCCCGACCTCGAGCGCCTCAAGCTAGTAACGGAGGCGCGGCTGCCCGCTGCCGGCGATGAGGACGGCGGCGGCAGCGATCGCCAACCTACTCGATCCGTTGCTGCCCTTCTCTTCGAGACCTCAGCCTCAAGCTCGACACGTTGCCTACACCATACTCGATGTCATTTCATGCACAATTAATTTCAACAAGATTTCGACAAGTCCATTGGTCCCTTCACACGCCGGAAATGGATGCCGGCGACGGCGGTTTCATTATCGGCACGGCAGCAATGGTGATCGTCATGACGACATCCCCGCGCGTTGAGTGAACGATCGTTCACCTGCTTTGCACAGCAGTCTGAGAAGAGTTAGCCTCAAGTTTCAGATGGATTCACCCGACAACTTTGGAGCTCGGCTTGTCAGATTCTTCGCTCAAATTACGCTATGGTTCTAGAAGAAATGTGCATCGATAGTGGTTTGTACTCCCTCCGTTTCAGGTTATAAGATGTTTTGACTTTTGTCAAAGTCAAACTACTTTAAATTTGACCAAGTTTATAGAAAAAAGTAGTAACATTTTTAACCCAAGACAAATTTATTATGAAAATATATGCAATTATTGATTTAATGACATTAATTTAGTATTATAAATATTACTATATTTGTCTATAAATTTAGTCAAATTTAAAAAAAACCAAAGTCAAAATATCTTATAACATAAAACGGAGGAAGTAATAAACAGAGGTCTACAATGAAACAAATGTGGCAGCAGATGGCTCATCCAAGATTTCTCTGAAACAAAAGAACTTCGTTGATGGTTCGTCATTGGTCTTCTCAAGAACTCATATCCAGGTAGGAGTGACCAACAAGCTTTATGGTGTTACCACTTGAAATGGGGAAGAGTAGTATGGATGATTTAAGTTTGATCTGATTCTGATGTGGAATGTAATAAACAGAGGTCTACGATGAAACAAAACAATTCTTTTTTTTTTGTTTGTTTCTAAAGCCTATGCGCGTTGAGCGATTCTTTCAATTTACTATAGCAGGCCTGAGGCAAAAAATATACTATAAACATTAGAGTTTAGGATAAGGTTCGGTCCAAAATTTAAAACATTGATCATCAATTTTATATTAGAACAAGTTCAGAAAAAAAAATCTAATAACTTTACGATATTACGATAATACTTTTCAAGGCAATTCACATATACCATTAAACTTAAGCATCTGAGAAATCATTATTGGTCAAAGTTTTAAAAGTTTAACTAAATTTTATCTTAAACATTAAATATTTATGTATGGAGAAAGTATCATGATAAGTAGGAGTAATAGACACATCAACATAGTTTTGCTACAAAAAGTACTGCAATATTTTTTTCTTTACTTCACGCTTTTTCACCATGTGATTAATTGCTAACTCTACCTACTAAGTAGTAAGTATATGTTCGTCTCTCTCTTATCTCTTATTTTTTGACTTCCATTTTTCATTTTTTAATTTATCAGTCCATTTTGCACCGTTAATTTTCAAGGAATCTAGTAGACAATTAATTATTTATGTCCTAGTTCTCACTAGATATGAGTACTAGAAAAACATAGGCTTAGTTCGGCATCCTGAGTTCCCAACCCATCTCCCTCGTGTTCCGCGCGTGCGCTTTTCAAACAAATAAACGGCCCGTTTTTTACAAAAAGTTTCTATACAAAAGTTGCTTAAAAAATCATATTGATCCATTTTTGAAAAAATAGCAAATAATTAATTAATCACGCGCTAATGGACCGCTCCGTTTTCCGTGCGCGGAACATATGTTTCCAACTAGCAGCAGCGAACACAGCATTAGTCATGTGATTTGCAATTCATAGTTAAATATATAAAATTCCGTGTAAAATAATACAATGTTAAATATATGCTGAAAAATTTGAGTTTTCTATTTTCTCCTTGAGATACTTCTTCTTTTAATTTACCTTTTTTTATTGGAATTAATGTTTTTGGACTAGTTATTTTTGTTTTGTTTTTATTTTGGATCATCTAAACTCTGTTTTGTGAGTACATTAGCATCCTCATACCGACAATCATCCTTTTTACGTGCAACTCATCGTCAAGAAGAGTGGTTGCATATGCCTAGATAAACGCATTTGGGTGGTCCAAAGTGCATTAAATGAAAAAAAAAAGTACCAATCCAAAGTGAAAAAGATTCAGTACAGAATGGTTTAAAGTAAAACAGAGAAGCTAATGGAGTAGCGCACTGTCTTGCTCAGCTTGCAAGACGGTCGAATCAGTAGATAGTGTGGAGAGGGGAAGCCCCAACGTGTGTTTCTGAGCTTTTGGCTCATGATTGTACTCCTAATACTTGATTAATAAAGCTCTCTGTTTGCGGAAAAAAAAGGGGAGTAAAACAATCGGTAATGTTTGGCTAATAGAAATGGGAAATAATTTTCCACTTACCAAAAGACATCTTTAAATCCTAACCATTTATTCCCCCTCTTCCATTTAATCCTAACCCTTTATTCATTTTACAATCCCGATCCTTTCCCTATTTTCCATTATCCAAACACACCCATTGGGTAATAACAACCGGTGCAAAAGTGCGATTCATTCCTTTTCAAAATGGGTGTAGGCACAAGTAGGTACAGTATGTGACTACGAGCCCACAATTACCCAATGAAGTTTGTCCTGTTTTTATTGAGTTGCTATAACGCCTCCCTACTTTGAAGCATCCATGAATTATCCAATCCTAGGGTATTACAGTGTACACTTAATTTCAAGTAGCTAGCATGCCAAGTGGCAGAGTAGTCAAATCACCTCTTTGTTACCTAACCTACGTACCATGATATGGTACTCCTAAGAGTGACATATATAACACATGCTAATCTCAAAGAGAAAAAAAATCGAAAGGATTGGATAGAAGCTTTGGCCGTTGCTGGGCAGTTTCGGCGATCCATCCGGCACGTATATACCCGCCACCACTCTACGCACGATAGAATTGCAACCAACGACACTACTAAAGTACTAAACGTTAACTTGACCCAGGTCAACAACGTGACTGAATTAAAATTTTATAATATAGCTGAACTTGGACCCCCCAC